TATAGTACTAATTTAGCCAACTACTACACCAGTGCTTCGCGAGGGAGACAACGTATTAGATGATCTGATCAATCCGAAAGGAGATCCATGTTCCAAAGTTAAAAACGCATAAAAATATACCAATTTGGTCGTCTGATCACCGTCTTTTCTCGCGTTGACGAAAAGTCCTGCTCGAAACGACAAGAGAGTTGCTAACTAACACCCCTGAAAAAAAAAAACAAAACACCCCTGAAAATCTCGGTGCAAAAGTCTTTTCACACAAATTAAGCTTTAATCAATATTTAGTCGCTCCTCCTTTTGCCAAAAGTACTTCTTTAATACGAGTAGGCATCGATGCAATTAATTCATCAAGAATTCCAGGTCCAATCGTCCTCCAAATTTTTCTGATGTAAAACCATAGCTCGACTTTACAATTGAATCGTTTTCCTCGCAATTTTGATTTCAAATAAACCCATAAATTCTCAATAACATTTAAATAATGGTGGAGCCTTGATTAAAGAAACGTGATTGATTCTAAACCATCCCGGTAAATGTTCTTTTCCTCCATTCGAAAGAGTCACAACGTCAAAACGCCCATCAAAAGTTTGCTTTTGTGTACTGGCGAATTATCTTGATAAAGAAACCATCCTGGATTCATCAGGATTCAGCAGTCGCAAATGGAAGTAGACATCCGTCCAATATCTCAATATATTGGCGGGAATCCATTGTTGACTTTACGAGAACCAGCGGACCTGTTAAACTTTTACACATCGCACCTAAAGAAATCGTTTTGAGCTGTATAAAAAGAAAATTATCCTTACCGAAACACATAATTGATCCTCCGCCTTTTTTCACCGTGGGTTGCAAGTACTTGAGTTGATATCGCTTTCCAATTGGACGTCGGATCAGATGATTTCGATTTGAAGAAAAATATCAACTTTGGTTTCATCAAAAAAAATCACTCGGGCCCAATCATTATCAGAATATTATCAGAATCTGTCGATCTAACTAAAATCTAGCTGACGACGAGATCTTGTGGGGGATTAGACTGTTGAGCCTCTGTGAAAACTTGAAAACCGTCAAATAGTCATCAGCTTAGGGAAAGTACGATAGCTGTTCTTGTCAAGCTTCTGTATGGCTTTATTCGCCATCACCGATTCTACAATTTCATTTCCACACTTGCCCTTCCCCAGCTTCTCCCATATCCCCTCCCTGAACACACAACTTATCCTTTTTCACGTCCTGCCTTTAATCCTCATAACACCGCTTCCTGCCAATCCTGTAGTTCAACATTTAATCTTTCTCCTCTGATTTCTGATTTCCGTCATCAACAAACACTCTTGGCTTTAGGGAATTTAGGACAAAAAGCTTTCTTCACAAATTTCAAATCTTTTGAAAAGATCACGTAGCAGTACTTTTTCCATCTATTATCATATTTTAATGACATCTTTGCATCTGAAAATCTTTTCAACTGTTATTGAACGTTATTCAAAATCAAATTTCAAGTCAAATCTGAATTCTGAAAAATAGAAAGTGATTATTTTTAGGCAAATTTTTTGGCTTTTGAATCAGTTGAAGAAGTTTTCGTTGTATCTTTGCATTTAAAAATCTTTTCAATTATCATTGAACGTGATTCAAGTTTCAATTCAGGTTTTCGTTGTATTGCATAACTAGGCCTCAAAAGCTGCCCAAGTTCTCCTTCAATTAAATGATCAGATTCTGATTTAAACGAAAAATTATCGATTCAGCTAATATGAGGGTGAAAAGAACCCGGAATTTCAACTCTATGTGCCTTTTACAAGTTAAGCAACGAATTTGAGCCGAATGATTCCCTGAACTTACTGTTGGCTGAAGTTTCCTAAAATTTTAACAATATCTCATTGCTTTACAGTGACTCTATTAATAATTTATTGGGTAAATAATCAGATTTTCAAATCAGTTTGAGCCTCAGTGTCTTGGCTGGTTTCTTCTTCATTGGCCTTTTTAAAGCATCGTTAGAGATTGTTTTGAATAGAGATCAGCATCAACGTTCTCTCCTGGATCAGCTAACTATAGTTTACCAAAGTTGAGTTTCACGAGCCACAGAATATTGTTTTCTTGTCATGATTCAAGTTTGGGAGTGGTTTGAGGGTTGATCGGCATTGGTTCTTACTTTTGACATTCTTTTAATTCCATCAAATATCAAAATCGCATCCTAAAACCTGCAACTTATGGAGGGAAAAAGAACTGACGTTGACTGGAATTGTTTTGTTATTAGCTTCGTAAATATGAAAGGTTATTTTTTACAAAAAATATTGCCCTGTCGTTACGAAGAACATTCGCTGTCTAGGATTTTTCTCAATAATATATCAAAATGTGCTCATGTTTTTTTTTGCAAAAACTTTTTGGCTTTGAATAATATTTGTATTGTTTCAGCTCGACAAAGATGGATGACCAAAAATCTAAAATCAGGGCTGCCATATTCTTTGAATTCAAGTTAAACAAGAAAGCTACGGAATGCCATCAGAACATTTGTACTGTTTTTGGAGAAGCTGCTCTTCCTGCGTTTGGTACGTTCGCTTCAAAGCGGGAAACGAGTCATTGGAAGATGCACCACATGGAAAGCCACCGATCACTTTGGACGATCAGCTGTTACTGAACGAGGTCGACTTGGATCCATCGCAAAAGTGTAGAAAATTAGCAGAAAAGTTCGGATGCACTCATGTTAACATTGAAAACCATTTACACGTTCTTGGGAAATCATATCGAAGCGGGAAATGGCTCCCCCACGACCTCACTGATGCCCACAAAGCCATACGAGTCACCCTGAGCGCTTTTCTTCTCACCATCGTGACTTTTGGAAGTATTTTTTGACATCTGAGACTTGGAAACTTGGCTTCCGTATGAAAATATTCAACTCCATGGGCAGTGGCTGAGTTCGAAGCAGACCCTCATTCAATCCCGAAGCCTCCGATACACGCGAAGAAGGTTATGCTCTGTGTGTGGTGGAATACTAAGGGATTGGTTTTTGGCGAGACTGTTGATGGAAGACTTTATGCAGCTTTAGTATAAACCAGTCTGTAAGCACAGCTTCATTTCTTCTTTCCATTTGTGTACTTTGTGCTCGCAAATGCACCCTTTCTGGTGCATTCAAATGCCAGTCTTGAGTGTTCTCTAGGGCTACGCATAAACGCTCATCTTTTGGTACACTAATGTCGAGTACGCATTTCCTTGTCATCCCCAATCTCTTCCACTAATCATTTATATGAACCATGCAAAATCTGAAGTCTAGAAATTCTCTCATCCCCAATTTAGTTTCTCCAAAGCTTCTTTAGTCAGCTCATTTGCACTCCGCGATGCTATTTTTTTCAAAATTACAGTAATCCGTCACTGAAAATTGAAATGCGTGCAAGGAAGATGAGTTTAAGAAAGTTTTAAGAATTCGGCTTACCGTATCCCCGATTGTTTGAGCGTTTCATTAATTGGATAATTAGTGAACTCAGCAATCTTTGTGCAATAATCAAGACCTTTATCAAGGGCTTCAATTTAATTGTAAGTTGGATTGTTAGAAAAATCTAAAGACATTTAGATGAATGACTGTCGTTCCACATTGAACAGTGGTGAATCCAGTTCAAAGAGAAAAAAACGACCATTTATGTCAATACAGTCAAAATCAGGTCATAAAAGCAGTGAATGACTACTTCGCCTCACAAGCTCCCAAGTTCTTTGAGGATTGGGCCCGGGATTTGCGCAGAAGATGGGAATAAGTCATAGATACTAATGGAGAATACCTTTCGAATTGAAAGCTCTTCTTTTGTTTTTTTGAAAAAAATTATCTGTTACATAAGCGCGTCATTATTAAGTTGCCAACCTAATATTACAGTATTTACGGTAGTTTTCATCAGGTTTTCATAACTGGCTGGGCAAACGTTTTTTTAAAACTTCTGCGAAGACTTGGGTACTTTTTCAATATCGGGGAGCGGTCCGATTATCGCGGGAGCGGAAAGATTATGGGGGAGCGAAAAAAAAGGAAAATAGGGGAGCAAATTTTGCCCCCTCGAAAAATGCATTTCCGGGACTGTATTTTAACTGCAAGGTTTTTTTTAACTTTAACGACGATGCGCTTCTCCGATATTTGTGCGTTCAAGAAATCGACGGCAATCGATTATTTCGTCACCAAAGGAGTCATCCAGTGGTGGATTTGCAACTGTGACGAATCGATGAAAGTCCGCTCAAAGGGAAAAGATCGATTTCGCTGGGTATGTGACACTTGCGCACGGCGAAAGGTCCCCAAGCATTCAAGAGGAATTCGAGTCGATAACTTTTTGCAACAAAGCAAGCTCCCGTTCGTCACATATACTTTAAATAGGGCATATGTAGCGCTGCAAAATTGCCCTGCCGACTATTTTCCTCCCTTCGCTACCCGGTGACCAGTCCCCCGATATTGAAAAGAACCACGACTTGGACTAGAAGATTCAGAAGGCCTGCATAAAGGCCCCGCAAATTTCTTCTGAATGCCTTTTTATGTATTTCCGCTATTATCCGCTTTCTTTTGACTACAACGAAGAAAAGTTTATTTTTAGAAGCATTGAAAGCTAAAGAATTCTTACAGTTGATTGAATACGATTCCATTCAAAATTTAAATTTGTTTAAATTTCATAATTCAAAAATTTTTTTTAATTATTTATCATGATGCCCGTTCAGCTTTCAAACCCAATGTTTTGAATGATTGTATTTCTCCTTTATTCTGAAAAAGCCTAAGCCTGCTAAGCTAGTTCATACTATTTTAAGAGTATCCCCAGCATGTTTCTATTTCTATTTGATGTCCAAATGTGAGCAACGAGATAATGCTGAGATAATAGATGTATCCAAAAGGTGTTGAAACAGTTACCAATTGATTCATCCTATTTGATTTCTCTAAAAGAAAGAAAATTGTCCGTACAGTCATTCGAAATGTTTCTACTTTTCGACCCATCGATTCATCCTATTTGATTTCTTTAAAAGAAAGAAAATTGCCAGTACAATCATTCGAAATGTTTCTAATGATTGTGCTGGCAATTTTCTTTCTTCTAGGGAAATCAAATGGGCTGAATCAATTGGTAATCCTTTCAACACTTTTTGGATACATCTATTCGATGATTGGCCAACTTGTTGCACTCCTACCACCCAGCATTATCTCGTTGCTCACATTTGGAAATAGAAATTGAAACATGCTGGGAATACTTTAATATAGTATGAACTAGCTTAGCAGGCTTAGATTTTTTTCAGAATAAAGGAAAAAGGCTTGGGTTTGAAAGTGCCCCCCCACAAGCCTATAGTACTAATTTAGCCAACTACTACACCAGCGATTCGCGAGGGAGACAATGTATTAGATGATTTGATCAATCCGAAAGGATTTCCGTTGGGGGTGGGTAGCTTGTTGTCGTTCTTTGGTACGTAGAATGACTTGAAATTCAATGTTTATATTTAATTTTTAGCTTCTGTGGCCTGATGGAAATCCGTGCCCCGACAGGTGCACATCGTTTCGATTATGGAGGTTTGTGGGTTGAAGAAATACCGTATTTACTCGAATAGAAGACCGGCCTCGATTATAAGACGGGGTCTAGGGGATGATCTCGAATATAAGACCGGTCTTAGATTCGAGGTACCCTGTTTTCTATTCTGCTCGAAAGTGGACGTACTCAAATACGGGAAAAGAATAAGGGAATTTACCCAATAGGGTAAAAATATTATATTTTCATTCAATAGCACTATTTTTTTGGTATTTTTCTACATCTTGTATTTTTTTGGTACTTTTCCATTATACCTCCGCCATCTCCACATTTCCGTTATACCCCCACCGTTTTGACTCTGATTATTTTAATTATTTGATTATCTGATCATTTTTTATCTAAAAACTGGCGGGGTATAACGGAAATGTGAAGTTGGCGGAGGTATAACGAAAAAGTAACATTTTTTTAGGCGACGGGAGGTGCTACGAAACGGAAAGCCTACAGTGCCGCCTTTAAACTCGAGGCCATTCTTTTTTCAAAGAAAAACTCGAAAGAGGCGGCTGCTCGACAGTTTAATGTGACTCCAAAGATGATTCGAGACTGGACGGCAAAAGAGGAGTCGCTGCAAAAGGAATCGAAAGGAGCGAAGCGGTTAAATGGAGGAGGACGAATGCTTAAATTTCGCGCAGTCGAGGAGGCCACTTATCGATGGATCAAAGAAAAACGAGAGGAAAAGCTAAAACTTTCTCGACGTATGGTTCAGGACAAAGCCAAGGAGGCTTTTTCGCGTATCGAACCTAGATTTCACTAAGTCTTTCTCTGCAAGCTGGCTTGCCAATTTTTTGAGACGGTAAAAAATGACAACAAGGAGTCCAACAGCGAGGATGATCAGATTGTTTGTTTCCGCAAAGGGGAAGCTTTTGAGAGTGGTCGATTCGAGCTGGATATTGCAAGATTGGAGGGAAGATTAGCAAAACTTTGTCAAGATATCGACTCCGACAAGGACAGAAACATGGGATATGAGAGTGAAAACGATTCAATTTCGAGCGCAGAGGGACTTGATGGAATTTTGCAACATCCGGATTTAATAGAGGATGACATTGAATCAAGTGGGAATGAAGAATAATGTTGGTACTACTGCTTTTTATGTTCTTATTAATTGTTGTTAATGTTGTTATTAAAGGTTGTTGTTTTCTTGTTATATATTTTTGTTATAAATTTTGTTGTTAAATGTTACAATAGATTGCTATAAAAGTTTTTTTTAAACGCTGGTTACTTTCCTGAAAATTTTCGTGAATGCGAATAATAAAAGACCGTGTTGAATAGACGACCGGCCTCGAATAGAAGACGGGGTCTAGAGGGGGTGATTGAAAAAAATAGAAGATCGGTCTTCTATTCGAGTAAATACGGTAAATGGATTTGCAGCTTGTTGCTTGTTTGAGTTAAGTTTTTAGCGTAAAATAGGCTTATGCAGTAATACTATAACAATTAGCAATGCCTTTACTTCTGCTAAATTACAAAATTTAATAATTTTTCGTTTTAGGTATAATCATCATGTTTCCAAAGCCGCCGAAGTGGCTGAATGTAGCGAGAATGGCCTTCCAATGAAGGTTAATATAAACTTTGCATAAACAATAAAGGTTTCTTTAGGTAAAACACATCTATTACTGGCCTGGCGATCATATTTCTATCACGTGCAAAGTTTGTCAACGGTTAGTTTCGTCCATAGGATCTAAATAAAATGTTCTGTTGGAGTTTTAGAGGTCTCGATTCAAATGGGAAGATCAAAACGTGGGGTTGGGCCGCAAAAGTATACGACTTTTTCGATCATTACCGGAAGAATGAGGTACAATTCTTTTCGATTTTCTGCTATTGTTGTCACATTTAGAAGTTGCAACACGCGGATGTTGGCGTGCAATTTTTACCACTCAAGTTCGAGATCAATACAGGATCGAAAGAATTCGATGGAGCAGGGGCTTCTGATCCGTCTTACATGCCCGGAAATCGGTGCGCTTGTTGTTTTTGTTAAAAAATAAGGTACTTATTGTCTTGTTTGTTTAGAAAAATTTGTTTCTTTAGAATTCAGGCCACGGAGCCTGGATCTTTCCCCCATATCCGACGACAAACGTTCGAACAAATTGGCAATACGTTACACATTCATAATGTAAGTTTATGTGTTTAGTTGTAAGTTTGTCTGATTTTTTAGGCTGAAGCAAGGGCGGCTGGTGTGTATTTTTGCTACGATGACACCGCGATCAATTTGGTATACTTTCACAGCGGCAATGAAATTTTTCCTCATGTTTAGGTCCGCTATTTCTATATTCTTCACGCAATGACGCCGATCAATCAAGTGAAAAGAATTCTTTAGCTTTCAATGCTTCTAAAAATAAACTTTTCTTCGTTGTAGTCCAAAGAAAGCGGATAATAGCGGAAACACATAAAAAGGTATTCAGAAGAAATTTGCGGGCTCTTTATGCAGGTCTTCGAATCTTCGAGTCCAACTCTTCGAATAAGTTTTAAAGGACGTTTGCCCAACCAGTTATGAAAACCTGATGAAAACTACCGTAAATACTGTAATATTAGATCGGCAACTTAATAATGACGCGTTTATGTAACAAATAATATTTTTCAAAAAAAACAAAAGAAGAGCTTTCAATTCGAAAGGTATTCTTCATTAGTATCGATGACTTCGTCCCATCTTCTGCGCAAATCCTGGATACCATCCTCGAAGAACCTGGGAGTTTGTGAGGCGAAGTAGTCATTCACTGCTTTTAAGACCTGATTTTGACTCTATTGACATAAATGGTCGTTTTTTTTCTCTTCTTTGAACTGAAATTCACCACTGTTCAATGGAACGACAGTCTTTCATCTAAATATCTTTAGTTTTTTCTAACAATCCAACTTACAATTAAATTGAAGTCCTTGATAAAGGTCATTCGGATCGAACAATGCCGTCGTTAGTTGTAATAAAATCAATAAATATGGAAAATTAAGTAAGCTCATTCGGAAATATTAGACATTAAGAAAGAAAAGTAAAAACGAAACATCAACTTGAACTCAATTTTATCAATTGCACTGACGCATTAAATGTTTCGCAAAAATTCGAATTTAAAGAACTGAAATTTGAGAAGCTGTTGCATACCCGTGAATTCTCGGCTTTAGAAATTGACTTTTCGAAGATGAGTTCGGTTTTGGGAAAGAAAAATGGAAGGTTCTCTAAGTGAAAAATTGCAAAGGGATAAAAGCAATGTAGATTTTAGTGTTCCAGAAATCAAGAGTTACTGTTTTTGAGCACAAAGCATTTAAAAACAAAACTCTAGTTTTCTCATCAATGAATGACTGCCGTTCCATTGAACAGTGTGAATTTCAGTTCAAAGAAGAGAAAAAAACGACCATTTATGTCAATACAGTCAAAATCAGGTCATAAAAGCAGTGAATGACTACTTCGCCTCACAAACTCCCAGGTTCTTCGAGGATGGTATCCAGGATTTGCGCAGAAGATGGGACGAAGTCATCGATACTAATGAAGAATACCTTTCGAATTGAAAGCTCTTCTTTTGTTTTTTTGAAAAATATTATTTGTTACATAAACGCGTCATTATTAAGTTGCCGATCTAATATTACAGTATTTACGGTAGTTTTCATCAGGTTTTCATAACTGGTTGGGCAAACGTCTTTTAAAACTTATTCGAAGAGTTGGACTCGAAGATTCGGAAGCCCTGCCTTCCGGGCCCGGCACAATTTTCCTGCTGACCTTTTTATGTGTTTCCGCTATTATCCGCTTTCTCTGGTCTACAACGAAGAAAAGTTTATTTTTAGAAGGGAGGAAAGGAAAAGAATTAAAAGAGGGGGGGGGGGGGTGGTTGAAAAAAAAAATTATTTTTTTAAAAAAAAAAAAAAAAAATTAAGAAAGAAAGGAGAAAAAGATTTATTAGGAAATAAAAAAAAAATTTTTAAATTTATTTTATCATGATGCCCGTTCAGCGCCTCAACTCTCTTTTTGTATTGGTACTTTTTAATGTTTTTTTTTTGTAAAATAAACTTCATTATCTTTTTAAACTTTTCTTTGTTTTAGTTGGCAACTCTCTTGTCGTTTCGAGCAGGACTTTTCGTCAACGCGAGAAAAGACGGTAATCGGACGACGAAATTGGTATATTTTTCTGCGTTTTTAACCTTGGAACACGGATCTCCTTTCGTATTGATCAGATCATCTAATACATTGTCTCCCTCGCGAATCGCTGGTGTAGTAGTTGGCTAAATTAGTACTATAGGCTTGGGGGGGGCACTTTCAAACCCAAGCCTTTTTCCTTTATTCTGAAAAAATCTAAGCCTGCTAAGCTAGTTCATACTATTTTAAGAGTATCCCCAGCATGTTTCTATTTCTATTTGATGTCCAAATGTGAGCAACGAGATAATGCTGAGATAATAGATCTATCCAAACGCTGTTGAAACGGTTACCAATCGATTCAGCCTATTTGATTTCTTTCTTCTAGGGAAATCAAATGGACTGAATCAATTGGTAATCGTTTCAACACCTTTTGGATACATCTATTCGATGATTTGCCAACTTGTTGCACTCCCACCACCCAGCATTATCTCGTTGCTCACTGTTGGAAATCAAATAGAAATAGAAATAGAAATAGAAATTGAAACATGCTGGGAATACTCTTAACATAGTATGCACTAGCTTAGCAGGCTTAGATTTTTTTTCAGAATAAAGGAGAAATACAATCATTCAAAATATTGGGTTTGAAAGTGCCCCCCCCACAAGCCTATAGTACTAATCTACCGCCAACACCATCGTGGCGGGGACACAATGTATTAGATGATCTGATCAATCCGAAAGGATTTCCGTTTGGGGTGTAGCTTATTGTCGTTTTTTGGTACGTAGAATAACTTGAAATTGAATGTTTATGTTTAATTTTTAGCTTCCTTTGCTTTAGAATTCTTTCCCTTTCCCGTATACCGACAAGGACAGATCGTTTCGATTATGGAGGTTTGTGGGTTCAAGAAATTAAAGGATTTTCAGCTTGTTACTTGTTTGAGTGAAGTTTTTAGCGTAAAATAGACTTTTGCAGTAGTACTATAACAATTAGCAATGCCTTTACTTCTGCTAAATTACAAAATTTAATAATTTTGCGTTTTAGGTATAATCATCATGTTTCCAAAGCCGCCGAAGTGGCTGAATGTAGCGAGAATGGCCTTCCAATGAAGGTTAATATAAACCTTGCATAAACAATAAAGGTTTCTTTAGGTAAAACACATCTATTACTGGCCTGGCGATCATATTTCTATCACGTGCAAAGTTTGTCAACGGTTAGTTTCGTCCATAGGATCTAAATAAAATGTTCTGTTGGAATTTTAGAGGTCTCGATTCAAATGGGAAGATCAAAACGTGGGGTTGGGCCGCAAAAGTATACGACTTTTTCGATCATTACCAGAAGAATGAGGTACAATTCTTTTCGATGTTCTGCTATGGTTGCCACATTTAGAAGTTGCAACACGCGGATGTTCGTGTGCAATTTTTACCATTCAAGCTCCAGTTCCATACAAGATCGGGCCAATTCGAGGGATCAGGGGATTCTGAACCGTCTTACATGCCCGGAAATCGGTACGTTTGTGGTTTTTGTTAAAAAATAAGGTACTTATTGTCTTGTTTGTTTAGAAAAATTTGTTTCTTTAGAATTCAGGCCACAGAGAACGGATCTTTGCCCCATATCCGACCACAAACGTTCGAATATATTGGCAATACGTTGCACTTTCATAATGTAAGTTTATGTGTAGTTTAGTTGTAAGTTTATCTGATTTTTTTTAGGCACAAGCAAGGGCGGCTGGTGTGTATTTTTGCTACGAGGACACCGCGATCAATTTGGTATACTTTCACGGCGGCAATTAAATTTTTCCCCATGTTTAGGTCCGCTATTTCTATATTCTCCACGCGATGACGCCAATCAATCGAGTGAATTGGATGGATGATGCTAATTTAAAGAATCGTCTTCAGCTGAGTCCGGATATGGGTCAGTTTTAACAATTCTTTCTAAACTTGCAGATTTTAGGCAAAATGGTCTGTGAATCGCCAGACGAAAAGGCTTTCTTGAAGCCTCCATATAAATGTGAAAATGACTGCGGGAAACCGATTTATGTGAGTGATTAAGGATATTAAAGTAAATTTTATGGAAGTAAGTGCTAGTTTTTCCATTCAACGACACTAAATTAACATTTAGATGTACCCGGATACTCAATGGAAATTCAACTGGCGTCCCATCATCTATAAACCCGAAAATGAGCCTATCTGTGATAAGGGTGATCTTAAATGCGAACAATATCTGGTAATCCATATCTTTTCTCGGCATTCAAGGTAACTTTAGAAACTTCACCCCAACACCGATGACCTAGCGATACGAAAAGTGCCGGAGACTGCGATACATCTGCATGTTTTTAAACGATCGATCAATGATGCTAGTTTTTTTTCAAATTTCAATGAAAATAGCTAATTAAATGCCTTAAATTTCACATTTTTAGAATTAATATTTACGTTTTAGAGACCATTCTACACGGATGTGGCGTTGGCTTTTCGATGGGAGCCGTGGAGTAGATGCGATTCGGGAAGAACACATCAACGCCGGGAGGGTGGGGGTGTTTCGATGAATTTTAAAAGTTTAAAATCATTTAGGACACTGTGTTTTGCAGCTCGTCGATGGTAAAAAGAAAACGAACTCGGAAAATACTCATACGAAAGCAACGAGGTACGTTTTACTGAGTTATAAGGTGACTTTAAAAAAGTAGTTTAGGTGGATGTCTCGATTGGATAGCATTTTCAGGCTTTCTGGAGGAAAGAATACGACATTTGTGAGATTGCACAGGTAAGAGTTGTTTGCGAAAATTCATACACGAAAGGAGTCAATTGCGTTTTAGTTCAACTTTGATGACGATGATCATGGATCAACCAGTGAACTCCGATTGTGGAGCAAGAGAAAGATCGAAGAGTGTTCAAAAGATTGACGAGTTTTATGAACAGGTTTGTTTTACCTACTTGAATAGCCTGTTCATAAGTTCGACTCAAGCCTTTGCCCCAATTTTTCTTTAGGTAATCTTTCCGTCGTTGGACATCCCGGGAGAACAATTCAACCGAAAGAAATTCACATTGAACAACGAGTGGAGGACTTGTTTTAAGTGAGAATTCTGAGATTATTTTAACTTTAATTTACGAGCTTTCTTTTGGAATTGAACTTGCGATAAAATAAGAGATAATGGAGCTGTTAAAAAAATGTCTTTTAGATACAAACACTCGGGAGAAAATGCGGGAAGTGATGGATCGTATTCGGATATTGTTGGCACCTATGTGATCGAAACAAAGGAGTGTCCTTAAGCTGTATTTAAAATGATAAAATGATTACTGTATATTAATGTTTCTTTCAAAGAATTCATGAAACTCTGTCTTTTGTTTTCTTTGTTTTTGGTAGTCAACAAAGTTCTTTGTACACGTTCTGGAAAATTTGCTTTATTTGACAAGATATTTCTTTTGATCAACTAGTGTTTTGTTCGGCAATGGCGGTTCTAGGCTGGGATTTTTACCGGTAGAAAATTGTGGCAAAAGTAAAATCGAAAAGAAAACATTTCTAAAAGAATCTATTTTGGACTTGCACAAAGGGCGAGTCGACGATGCTGCTCGGTCCACTGAAATTTGAGTTTAAAGTTTGAACTAGGATGTCACAGTACCCTAAAGCTTGTTCACTCACCTTTCCACTTTGCACATCATACTTGTAGATGGTCGAATCACAATGATATGCACGAGGGGTAAGCTTAACGAGTGAATGAAGTGGACAGTCCAAATAGGGCAACTCCATCAACGGCCGATCGTAGAAATAACCGAGAATACAGCGCAAGATTGCTTGATGCCCAACCACCAGTACATCGGTCTGAAAACGCACATTTGCGTTTTTTTTCTCTTTTTATAATACTTGGCTTTCCAACTCCATGATCACCGGCTTCAATCTGGAGACCACGTCTTCGTAACTTTCACCTGATGGATACCGATAGTGGTACTTGTCACGGTCTCGATCTTCAGACTGTCTTGGATATCTGAATGGAGTAGTTGGCTAGGCGCTATGATATTCACTGACCGTTGTTCTATATCTGCATAGGTGAGTCCCTCGCAAATCCCCGCGTCGATCTCATCCAAAGCTTTCCAGTACTCAATGTGTGCCGCTGCTGAGGCCACCTCGCGAGCTGTTTGCGCCGCTCGAATCTGTAGTTTTCTCATAGCCAGTTCCCCATTCCCCCCGTAAACTACCTTTTGACTACTCCAAATCCTAAAATCGGGAATCTTCTAATGCGGTAGCCAATTACGGTAGCCGGCTTAGAATAGCTTACGGTAGCTTTTGAAGGTGCTACGTTTTAAAAAACCACACTGTACATAGGAACACTTAAAAGTTAGCAAGCATTTGATACTGTACTCCCTGCAAAAGTTGCTTTGATATTTGATACTCTCAGCAGAAGTTATCCAACTTTTAGAAACCTCAAAACCAAAGAGATCAATTCTTTTTGTACAGAGATTTAGAAAATTTGAGTACAGGTATAAATCGGCCGAAATAAACATTTTCCAAGAGCAGAAATTATTTTTTGACTCGGATTCAATTAGCATTTGATCAAAGGCATTTTTGATCAAAGGGATCAATGGGATCAAAGGGACCAAGGGCACTCCAAAATCTACCTGCTAAAACGATTTCCGTTGCCATTCCAGAAATCACAATTCTAAAGATTACAGAAATGAATGGGTTTTTTCGAAAACAAAACGACCTCTCCCTTTGTTCAATTTCCCGAAAAGTTGAATGAATTTAAAAACTTTTTTATTTCAAAATGTAGAGGGGATCTTCAGCTTTCGAATAATATATAACACTCATATAAATCTCTTCGATATCTTGAGAAATTTACAAAATATTAAAACACGCGCATTCATAACTGGACAACCCAATAAAACAATTTCAAATTTTACAACAAAATCTACCTGCTAAAACGATTTCCCTTGCCATTCCAGAAATTACAATTCTAAAGATTACAGAAATGATCTAAAAGATTGAGATAAAGCTTAACTCACAAACAAAATTGATCTTCAGGCACTTCTAGCTCAGACACAAAATCATCAGTTGATAAAGAAATGATCGAATTTGGTGACAATCTCATTTCTTTATAAGAACATGGAGAAATCATAGAATATAGAAAAGAACAATGAAATATTAAGAAATTTATAACTGGCAGGGGAGCAAAAGAGGCTAGAAGGGCGAAGGGAGAGGACCCATTGTTCCCTCTCAGCACACCAAAATGGGAAAAGGCCAAGTTGCAAGAAGGATTCTGGATTAGCTAGATATGGATCGAAATTCGACTGATTCCTTGGCCAATAGACCCTACTTTTATACTTTTGATCCGATAGCACCTTCTAGCCACAGTTAGTAGGCTAACTTTCAGCTAATGGCTTACTAAACTGGCCGGTGTGCCAGCAGAGACGCGTTTGCTAGGGTTTAAAGTACAAGAAAGTTCATTGTTGCTGTTGAAGTTGAAAGTTGTTGAAGTTTTTATGAATTTGGTGATTTTTTATTCACAATCAACAATGGTAGACTTTAAACAGAGTCCAATAACCTAATAATTCAATCCCTTGATTCTACCAAACAAAAAAAGTCCCATTCGACAAATCCCTCAAGAAAAAACGCCATGATTTTCTCAGTAATTCCACCTGTCAAGCTTCAATCACCTTTTATGATAGAATATCTCATTTCCTTTTCAATATGAGCTTTAATATCACTCAATCGATTGCTTACGAAACACCAACATCCTACATCACTTTTATGGCAGTTTTTGGAGTTTTTGGCGGTATTGTGAACTTGTCAACCCTTTACGTGATCATCGTTGCAACGCCGACGAATATGAAAGGATATAAGCCGCATTTGATGTGGCATCAGGTATAAAGCTTCTGGGTTTAGGCTTTAGATCAATACTATCAAATATTGATCAAAGACTTGAGTTTGATTGCTTGTCAAGGCTTTGATAGGCCGGTACAACTCTATAAAAAGCTTATAGCAATGTCAAAAGTTGAACAGGATTGGGATTGAAAAAGATTTACAAAGAACTCAAGCTTTTGAAACATATCAGTCACAACATTCAGTACAATTGTCTCAGATGAACTCGAGTCAATCTTATCAACGAATTCAGATCTTATCTATCATTTTCGAACTTCTCCTTCACACAGCCATTCCGGAGGTGTTTTTCCCAACAATATCTTGCAAATTGCATGGTCCTCTTTGGACAATCGTCGGTCTTCCATTCAAGCGATTCTTTGTTTGTTTTAAATACTTAAAGTAAATGTATACTACCCTAAATAGTTTTATTATAACTAATGAATATAAATGAATAACTGAATATTGAATATGTATAAATACACAAATAAACCTTGTAATTTTAGGAAATTAGTGCAATTTGTCTAATCATTCTCGTCATGGCTACTATTCAATGTGTCATTTATCGACATCGACAAGTTTTAGCCGCAAAACATTGGTTAAAGTTTGTTTAGTGCTCCAAATGATCTGTGTTTTCCAATTTTTGAGCAAAAAAACATAAAATTCTTGAGATTTCGCAAATCTACCTGGATTTTTCTCGGTCTCCTTCATTACATTCTATGGCCATTATTCGCTTTCTATTGCGTAGAGATTATGTCAACGAATTTATCTCCAACAAATGCTCAAATAATAGTGGATGTAGGTGATTTGTGATCCCAATTCATTTATCAATTCTAGACGTTGCCTGAATATTCTTTTTTAAAGAATGACTCAAACATTTGGATAATTATCCCGGAGCCACTTGCCCCACCAATCATCAATTCGACGTCGGAGTACGGGATTATTGTGATTATTTTAGTTCTAGCACCCGAGGCTTTACTTTTGGTGAGTTGAAGATGTTGATGGCTCGTCGGGCAATTGGGAATCTTTAACTTTAAAGTATTGGCTAAGTATGCTAACTATTTGACCTAGTGCTTTCAAATGAAAGTCAAGTAATTTGACTGAAGGCTTGACTTTTAAGCTGCACAATGGTTTAACAGCTTCTAGAATTTCTCTCAAAAATCAAAATTAAGATAATCTTGGGGCAAAAAATTGGTCCCAGGAATTTGGGCATATTGATGGGCCAAAACCGGCTTGCTCAGGGAGCTAAACAGCGCCACAGCAAAAATAGCCCCTCCGCGGTTAAGTTTCTATGTGCTTCTTGATTATTATTGGATGCAGAATAAAATTATCTACATTTTGCATACTTTGGGATCACTTAAAACAGAATTGGCGCCGAGGAAACCTCAGTTAACCTCTTTTTGAACCCTTTTTCCTTTTTGGCATTTTCTCATCCCAGATTTGTTCTAAACGGATCCAATGGATTCAGCAGATAGCTAATTTTTCCCCCACACCTAGAAAAGGGGCAATGGATTTACGCCAAATTTTTCCGGTAGTCTGTTTCGATCGGCTCCCTAGGTCCCTCACCGCTCCTTCCTTCAGGATTACAAAAGAAACGGAACTATCTAGCAGCGTCGTGTGCCAGATCCCAAGCGATTGCTCGGCCACACAAAGAGCACCTCGTCACTCACTCGTCATTCGTCACCGGGAATTTTCTTTTGCTTTGCAGATGCTATAAAAAGAAGATATTAAGCTGTAAATTTCTGCCCGGGGGTTTTCGGAGTCGGGGATTCGAGCGGAGATATTCATTTTATCGATTTGAACGAAACTTTTCTGGTTTTCGGAACCGATTCGATTGAATATAGACATTCAGACAATTTCCAGGCCTTTTTCCTCACCTGGCACTCTTTTTACCTTCTCGAGGCACAGTCGACAAAATTGAGTGAACGCACGAAAATGCTACAACGAAAGCTTCTTGTCGCTCTTATAATGCAGGTGAAATTTGGATAATTTTGTGCAATTGTAGCCAGAGTTGGCCTCGAAAAGTCATCAATTCAGATTTTCATCCCATTTTTGACCATTGCTTTCCCTTGGTTACTTTATGCGGCTGTTGTGGGGCTGAAATTGATCATACCGCAATGTTTGTTTGAAATAATTTTCATTGTTACTTTAATACTCATTTAGATATTCTCAATTTCGCCTTATTGATAAACAGTACGCACGCAATGACGTCATCGATATTCATTTGGGGATTCACTGAACCATATCGAAAATTTCTCACTCACTCGTGGAAACGATTTCGAAACGTCATTCCATCAAGTCGCTCAGTTTCAGTTGTTCACATTTGATTTGATTTTGATACAAGTTTCAACATCTTTAATGCCATTCACATATCGATGAATATCGATGCTAAGTGTGAGCACTACGCCAGACCATG